TTGAGTACATGTACAGTAAATGAACATACTTTCCAGAAGGCCAACAATTCACTAAAAATGTTTTTTTTATTGGTCTTATGAAGTATTCTAATTTGTTGAGATAGTGAATTGGTGGGTTTTTGTGAAATGTGAGCCAAAATCATTACAATTAAAAGAACCAAAGACCTAAACTACTTCAGTCTGTGTGCATTGAATTTATTTAATACACAAGTTTCACAATTTGAGTTGAATTACTGAAATAAATGACATACTAATTTATTGAGATGCACCTGTATGTATGTATCACACTCGGGGGCATCATGCACTCATGATTTTTGAGGGTGCATACCAAAGACCTAAACTACTTCAGTCTGTGTGCATTGAATTTATTTAATACACGAGTTTCACAATTTGAGTTGAATTACTGAAATAAATGACATACTAATTTATTGAGATGCACCTGTATGTATGTATCACACTCGGGGGCATCATGCACTCATGATTTTTGAGGGTGCATGAGTGGGGGGGCTCGTCATGCTTGTCATGTGACACAGCAGCCACAATAGCACTGTATAACTGATATCGGCTTATGTTTTATTTTATTTTTTTCCTTTTTATTCGAAATATCTCGATCCTCAAACATGTGTAAGTTAATGCGTTTTGTACCAGATTGTTATTTGTGGGTGACAAAGTAGAGTAATAGTGTAATCTATTAACTACACATAAAAACCCGACTTTTTACTTAAATAGGCCTACCAGATATGGGTGTAATGCCATAAAATATTTTGAATACGACTGACTTTGTATTTAATAACAATATTGTAAGTTACTATATCAGGCTATAACATTTTCATTTTACAGAGAGCAAAGAAATTTTAAATGATCAAAGAACATTTTCACTTCAGTCTAGCCAGAGTTCAGGCACTCTCAAAAACTCCCATTTAAATCACTGAAGCGGTTTACACTGTGAAATGAACATCTTACTTACATTCGTACACACATCTGCACAGTCAGCGAGCAAGTGAACAAAACACTGCGTTAAAATTCACGTGTTTTTGGCCCCTTTGGCCTTCCATAAGCGATGACTCATCTGAACGTCTCTGATTACTGTTGTGTCCTTGTATTATTGATTCACCAGAAGAGGGCACTATGGGTTACTAAGTTGGTACCTATAAAAAGTGTAGAAGAATAATTGAATGTGAGCAACCATGTGGCATGCAGGCTGTGTTTGCTGTTGGCTTTTGATGCTAATAAAAAAAAAACTGGGCTTGATTCACTTGTTCTGATGGTACGTAAAAAAATAAATAAAAAAAAGTTTACAAATCTTGTCTTTGGGGTCAATATGACACCATATTGAATTGAATGGGAATTGCTAAAAAAAATCAGTTAATCCGGCATAAATCTGAAAATTTACAAAAAAGACAAAAGACGTCTTTTTATGACATCTACTAAACATCTTATATTGACGTCCACGACTTCTCTAGAAGGTTACAATTTAGTTCAGATGTAGTCCTTGCGGTAGGCCTGTCACAATAACAACTTTTTGTTGTGTGATATATTGCCCCAGAAATAATTGCAATAAGCGATATTATTTTCATTTTAAAGACCATTTTATACCACTGAATATATAATCATGTAACAGCATAATAATGCAAGAAGGCCTACACACTTCCAAATGACAACAAACTTTTAATTTTTAAGAATATTTAGTTAATGGAAATTAAGTATCACAACCTGAATAAATAGTAAATAAACATTTTCTAACAATAAATGCAAAGTAGCAAGTAGAAAAAAAAGAAAAATGCACAAAGAACTTGTATGAAGATTTTTCCCTTACCTTCTTTTCTCTGTAAATTAAAATTTTATATATTTTTTACAATTACTCTTTCTATTTTTCAATAGTGATGCTATATTTTCTTAATAATTTGCTTCATCAGACAGCTCTTTTTCAGAGTTTGGTCTTTAAAGCTCTTAAATTTGAATACAAAATAGCCACATCTGTATACTTACTATATCTGTCATTTTAAAATTTGTGATTAAATATTCCTGTCATCATAACTGAAGCTGTATGCTCTGCTTTCTAACACCATACAGTGGGCTCCAAAGGTACTACAAGTACTCCTGTATCTATATAGTTTTTTTTCTGTAGTATTAAAGTTAAATTGTATCATGTTCATCAAAAGAAATACAGACCCCGCTTAAATGATCATATATACACTAGTGGCAACAAAACATTCATCAGAATATGTTTATTTAACAATAACTTGAGCAGCCCACCCAAATCAAGCACAGTAAAATAATATCTGCTTAATTTATAAATATATACATATTTTGTTCATAATTAAGAACACTGCAAAATCATCATTTCAGTTTGAGAATGTAACAAACTGATAACAGCACATTTTTTTTCACAACAGTACTACAGTTCACTCTAAAGACAGTCCATGGGTAAATATGTTTCTTGTTGGGTAATGATTGTTCAAATGTTGACATCAGCTGACATAACACATTTAGTTGGAGTATAAAGACTAAATCAAAGTGTAGAATAATTCAACATGTAACAATACCTTTCAAAAAAGGTTTCTAAATACATAGAGCAGGGACAAAACTAGACAACTGGATCATTTGGATTGACTGGAATTTGGACTATACTGTAACAATGTTGTAACATTACATAAGCCAATTAAAGGGTTACTCCACCCCAAAATGAAAATTGTGTCAATAATCACTTACCCCCATGTCGTTCCAAACCCGTAAAAGCTTAGTTCGTCTTCAGAACACAATTTAAGATATGTTGGATGAAAACCGGGAGGCTTGTGACTGTCCCATTGCCTGCCAAGTAATTAACACTGTCAAGGTCCAGAAAAGTATGAAAGACATCGTCAGAATAGTCCATCTGCCATCAGTGGTTCAACCGTAACGTTATGAAGCGACGAGAATACTTTTTGTACGCGAAGAAAACAAAAATAACGACTTTATTCAACAATTTGTCTCCTCTGTGTCTCTCTGCATCACCGTAGCGCCATTTTGGAGAATATCCGCTGAACGCAAGCAGCATACGCTCTGGTGTCAGCCGCGCTGCACGGATGCGCTGTTTTTGTTCAAATCAAAGCATAAAGACACATAGAAACTTAATCCTTGTGCCACAGAAGAGCGTACGCTGCTTGCGTTCAGCAGATATTCTCCAAAATGGCGCTACAGTGATGCGGAGAGACACAGAGGAGACAAATTGTTGAATAAAGTCGTTATTTTTGTTTTCTTCGCGTACAAAAAGTATTCTCGTCGTTGTTTGGAACGACATGGGGGTAAGTGATTCATGAAAAAATTTTCATTTTGGGGTGGAGCATCCCTTTAAATAGTGCCACTGAATCACTTTAACTTCATAAAACCATCTCTAAATATTGCCTTCATTACATGAGGATTACAGAAAGAAAAGACAGCCTGTATTCGGACAGAACCCATGTCATCATCTAAAGTGCCTCACCGATCAACAGCCAGCTAACTTTTCACCTCAAAATATTTTCAGTAACCAAATGAATGTATTGCAGCAGGAAAAAACATGAGCTTTGAGAAGCCTCAAATACAGATTGTCCTTTCCGTAAGAGGTTTGGGTTGTTTGATGGAAGTTTATGTGACAGTGGCTATTACTGAAAGGCTCCCTGTACGGCTGAAGATGCAGCTGTAGTGGCAGCGGACTGGAAGGTTCGGTTTGTGACGACCCCCTGAGAAAACTCTTCCTGCGCCTTCTGGAAGCTCGCACCTGTGTTTCTGTACATGGAGTGAACCTGAAAACACAGTGAAAGTCAGTGCACAATCCCAAACTGAAGGTTTGGACAACATTATTAGTAATGAATAATATAAATACACTCTCAGAAAAAAAAAGGTTTAAAAGTTGGCACTGTGGATTTCACGCTTTCAAAAGGTACACATTTTTTTTTGTTTGTTTTTTTACCCCTAAAGGGTGCAAATTAGTACCTACATACTACTACCTAATGTGCATATGGGTCAAAGATGAGACATCCTATTTTGGTGTCTGCATAAAATTACAAAAGTGATTTTATATCCTGAAAAAGCATATTAATGAAAGTAAACCGTCAACTGTAATGTTTCAAATAACGTCAAAATATGGGTGAAATGATATTCCAATTGCATTCAGCATAACAGATATATTTTTGTAAAAATGAAATTATATACTTATTCTGACCTGTATTTATTCGTTTCTGTGGGCTGCACTGTGATCCTTAAACATAGTCTTTTAATGACAACTAACGATTCTCGTTCTAAACATGCCTGACAAGATTTTTTGTTATATGAACTATTGTTGCACTTTAAGCTATAATAAACGTTTACTGTTTTGATTCTTGAAAACTCATTTTCATCTTTGACCCAAATTGGTACTAATACTTGTAATATGTGTAAAGGCAGACAGATAAAATAGACAAATTTTACTCGATGTATGCAAGTGCAAGAACAACCACATATGGTTCACATATGCACACTTACAGCTGTGGCCAACTTACCATTTTCAGTAAGATCACAGACAGCACAGCACTGACAGTGAAGAATCCAGCCACCACCATCATGAAGACTGACACGGCTATGTTAATCTTGAGCACAGAGATGGCTGTGATCCAGCCACTGCGAAACAATCATCATATCACATTAATACTTTCAAGTCTAGTCACCATTATTTATATAGCGCTTTTTACAATGCAGATTGCGTCAAAGCAGCTTTACAGTATTAAACTGGGAAATAGTGTGTCGAAATAATGTGCCGTTCTCTTCTGGCCAGACAAAACCAGCAGTTTAATTCTAGGCTGCACCACAGTCAGATTGTGCAGAGGACTCGCTCAGCTTTCAGCACACATTTTCATACTATCTCACAAACACAACAAAACTTAAATATAGAAAAGAAATTAATTTTTTTTTGTAAGTAATCCCACACCTCTTCTCAACAAGCACACAATTTGAGCTATTATTCATGTTCTTAGCAGAAACTGTGCTGGATAGGTCTGTCAACGTTTAATATCGGGTTAGAGTTTTGTAGAATAATAACAGTATGAAACTGTAAATTAAAAAGGCACATTGCTGAGAAGAGTACAGGATATTTCACCATACAAAACATGACCATGAGAAGGAGATTCATGGAAAACAGAGAAGAGAGCCCACACTCACAGAGAGACCACCCCCAGGAAAATGAACACTGGCAGATTATGAAGTTGAGATCTGTCAAAGAAACTTGCAGAGAGGAAGTACACACAAAGACTCAAATAACACACTTAAAAGAGCGCCAGTGATGGAGAACCTCACCTGTTTCCCCAGCCGGGGATCCCAACACTCTGAATGATGTACACGATTACTTGGAATGAGAAAATGAAGAAGAAAAAGAAGAAACTGAAGGAGCTGTCAGATCTGCAATGCAAAAGAAAAAGTTACAGGTGAGATGATGATACTCGGATGTCTTTCCAATCAAAACAATAAACCTCTCTCTTTATATAATTGAAGCACCTTTCAGGACTACAAAGATTACACTGTAACATTACTTATTGTTTTTTAATGACAATAAAGATAAGACACTACATGCAAAACCATTGTTGGCTTTCATGCTGATTCCATAACGTCATCTTTCAGACCAGTGGAAAGAAGCACCCAAAATACACAATTAAGTGTTGATTTTATTACAAGTACAAATCTATTTGTATCTGTAGATTTCAATTGCAGTGCATTTCTTTAAAGGCTGTTTTCTCAAAGAAAGTTTTTTTCTCTCCTGCACTGAGCCAGAAATCTCTACTTTAGTAGCACTTACACAAAACTTTGCGGTTTTATTGCTAAATGCATCCAGAAGGTTTTTACAGAATGCTTTGGTTAACTGATATATATTTAATCATAAAAACACTGATTTTGTATTTTTTTTATAATTAGTTAGTGGTATTTTTGTATATTTTGTATTATGGAGGTATAAAAGTGACAAAAAGATATATACAAATTTAATTTGAAATTTGAAACCTGTAACTACAATGTCAAGAAAATGAAAACGATTTTAGCTTTATCCACTGTTCAGATACATATTCAAATGAGTGCATATTTAATGAGATAATACCTTGTTAGAATCTTTAAAAGGGTTACTTTACCCAAAATGGACAATTCTGTCATTAATTACTCACCCTCGTGTCGTTTTTAGATATTTTTGATGAAATCTTTGCACACAAAAATGATTCTTGTAGCTTCATAAAATTAAGGTTGAACCACTGATGTCACGTGGACTATTTTAACGATTCCTTACTACCTTTCTGGGCCTTGAACGTGCCAGTTGCGTTGCTGTCTACAGAGGATCAGAAAGCTCTGGGATGTCATCAAATATACCTTAATTTGTGTTGCGAAGATGAAGAAAGGTCTTACGGGTTTGGAATGACATGAGGGTGAGTAATTAACGACAGAATTTTCGTTTTTGGGTGAACTAACCCTTTAAGCAGCATTTTAGAAAAAATTGTCAAACAAAACAGTTGTCTTAATGTACTGTGATTAATCTGCTGGGGAAGTATAGTGATATCTACAGTATTAGTTAAATACTCTATTCACCTGTTGTGACTTTTGTCATTACTGTAATGAGGCTGTGAGGCTGGCATAAAAATGTAATGAAAATTATGACACAATAAAAAATATCAACACTGAACTCACTTAAAGGCTTTGTATACAGGTCGGTACCAGCAGAGGAACGCGATAGGAGTGAACAAAATAAACCAGAGGATTGAGAGTCCGAAGTCAACTCCATTCTGAGTAGAGACCGTAAAATACACCAGACAGGCCAGCAGGTTCAGAAACAGCGTCACACTGTGATCTGTTAAAAAAAAGAAAGACGACGATGTGGTCCGTTATCTAGGCTTACATAGAGCATGAACATTTCCTAAAATGTTTGCCAAAGCATACAACCATACTTCTCAAACTGTTTTGCAGTATATGTATAGTAGGCAGAGTGGAATGGACTTACAACACTGGGCAGAATTAGCAGTATCCAACAGAAAACACTGCACGAATACTGCATCCCAAAATGCAATGTGCTTGACTTAACCTTTCATTTCCAGTGTGACCAATGAAGCTCAAACCATATGAATTTGCAATCTAACACCACAAAAATGTTACCGATTTTCACACAAAAAAATGTAAAAAACACAAAATACTGCAGGACAGTGTTGTTTTAGTTTCATCGCTATACTATTATAGTTTTAGTTAATAATTTAAACTAGATTAGGTTTTTACACTTTAATTTGACTTATTTGATTAATTTTGTTGTACGTCTTTAGCATCTTTACTTTTCTAAATGTCTATATAGTTTTTATTTATTAGTTTTAGTTATTTTATTGCTTTAGGTTAAGTTTTATTTATTTCAAGTAACAAAAATGCTTGTTTTTTTACCGTTTTATTTTTATCTTAAAACATGTAATAACCCCACTGCAGTAGAATTATCGCAAGCTATTCCATTTTGAACCGTCTTTATTCATTACACGTCTATGCATTCACTTACATATCCAGAGGTAGTACATCATCTTGCAAACCCTCTGATATTCCACAGGAATTTCTTCATTAAAATCCTGATAGAAGCAAGGTTTTATGGGGAAAAACTTGGGCAAAGGTGGCCAGTTGTTGTCTTTACCTGCAAGCAAACAATTTCCTTCATGTCAAGAGACCACAGAAGAAAGTCTTACAGAATAAGATCAATATTAGTGTGGTCCACCTAATGCTGTATCTCGATCCCGGAGCTCCTGTTCTTTACGCTCCAGCTCAGCAGCCTTCTTCTCCAGCTCCGCTTGCTGACGGAGGAGCTCAGCCTGTCCTGCAGCGACGCTGGCCTGGAAGAGGAAGAAGATACAGTACATGCTGCTTTACTGCGGTTTATGCATAAACCTAACATCTGTTTGGTTGTCTTTAGGAGGATATGAGTTGCTTACATTATTTCATGATGTACTAAGATAAATACAGCATGCATTAGCATACACATATTAAGTATAGTTCAGCATAAACACTGTACTAACTTGTGGGCTGGGCTCCACTGTGGTCTGCAGGACTGCTGGTTGAGAGGCAGTTGATATGGGAATGGTGCGCCCATCCTTAAATGAGAGTGGGGCAAGGTTTTTAAACTTTTAAACGATTGTGATTACATACAGAGCACAACAGCTGCTTTTTTAAAATAAGCAAACACCAGAAAAAAAAGTTTTTAACAGAACTCCTACTTGATTCTTTTAGGATTTTGCATTTCTTTATTTACTTGACAAGGTTTGCTAATAGAACATCTATTGTAACTTTTAAAGATTAAATGTGACCCTGGACCACAAAACCAGTCTTAAGTCGCTGGGGTATGCAGGTGCATCTCAATAAATTAGAATGTCGTGGAAAAGTTCATTTATTTCAGTAATTCAACTCAAATTGTGAAACTCGTGTATTAAATTAATTCAATGCACACAGACTGAAGTAGTTTAAGTCTTTGGTTCTTTTAATTGGGATGATTTTGGCTCACATTTCACAAAAACCCACCAATTCACTCTCAACAAATTAGAATACTTTGACAGGTTTCTTTGACAGTGGCCTTCAGGTCATCTGCATTGTTGGGTCTCAAGTATTGAGTACATGTACAGTAAATGAACATACTTTCCAGAAGGCCAACAATTCACTAAAAATGTTTTTGTTTATTGGTCTTATGAACTATTCTAATTTGTTGAGATAGTGAATTGGTGGGTTTTTGTGAAATGTGAGCCAAAATCATCCCAATTAAAAGAACCAAAGACTTAAACTACTTCAGTCTGTGTGCATTGAATACACGAGTTTCACAATTTGAGTTGAATTACTGAAATAAATGAACTTTTCCATGACATTCTAATTTATTGAGATGCACCTGTATTCGTAGCAATAGCCAAAAACACATTGTATGGGTCAAAATGATCGATTTTTCTTTTATGCCAAAAATCATTAGGATATTAAGTAAAGATCATGTTCCATGAAGATATTTTGTAAATTTCCAACCGTAAATATATCTAAATTGAATTTTTGATTAGTGATATGCATTGCTAAGAACTTCATTTGGACAACTTTAAAGGCGATTTTCTCAGTATTTTGATTTTCTTTTTTTTGCACCCTCAGATACCAGATTTTCAAATAGTTAAAATATTGTCCTATCCCATGTAACCTGAAAGCTTATTTATTCAGCTTTCAGATGATGTATAAATCTCAATTTAAAAAAATGGACCCTTATGACTGCTTTTGTGGTCCAGGGTCACAAATAAGACATACACTTAAATTCTGAATAAATAAAATTAAAAATAGGATTTCAATTTATTAATTACAATATTTAACTGTATTTTTTTTATTAGCTTAATAAAGCTTAATTAACTTTTGATCCCACAGGATAATCTTGGTTCCAAATTACAACAAGAACAATATAATTCTGTATACATTCCTGTAGATTTATGTATTTTTGACTAGATATAAAGCCAAGGACATGAGGAATTGAGAAAGGATATTTCATTTGAAAACGAAGGTTGGAAAGTGTTGTCATGCTTACCAGAGCACCGGCAGTAAACGGGTTAAACTCTCCTATGCCATCGGCTGCCGTGTTGGTCACCTGAGTAACTGATGGATCCTGTCAGACACATAAAATATGACTCGTCTATTCATGTAACACTTGACATGTTATGCACAGTTTCTGAACATGCGCCGTAGCATTCTTTAAAGTACTTTGGAGAGCCATGTAAACGCTGCCGGTAGGCTACATGAATATAACAATTATGCAGTGCCATAACATCTCTGAAAGTACCACAGTATTATCAACTATTGTTTTTTTATATATATTTGTATCAAAAAAAGTATATATCCTATGTCACGAAATTAAATGAGACGCACCTGTCGGATTTGTACACCTCGCGTGAAGTGAGGGATGGGGGAGATTTTATGTTTGTAAAATGCTTTAAGTTCTTTACAGAATGATAAACAGGTTTATGACGGTAACCACCGAAGCAAAAACACAGTTGTTATATTTTAAAACAACACGATTTAATTTAACAAAGTAACACTTCCTCTATCGTCATCAGATGCTGATTGGCTTGTCAGCCTTGCAGTGAATCGTGATTGGCTGAACGCCTGTCAATCACACCTCATTACTCTAGTGACTCAGAACCTAACAAACTAACCAAACAGGTTTGCAGCGCATACAACTTCTAACATTTTACATATACCTGAAGACATAATAAGTAGATATTTACCTGAAAAGGATTGACATCAACTGGCTCGGCAAAGGGGTTATTATCGAATCCAGACATTTTGTCTTGCGGTAAGCAGCACAGGTGTACCGGGGCTCTGTCTGTGTACCTGCCAGCGCAACTCCCTGAGCGCACACCTCGCTGCGCATGCGTGATGGAGTCAGTCGTCACGTCGCTGCGGGGTTAGTCAGATCTCATGTTCCAGCTCTGCTTCCACTGCTGGATTCTGCTGGAAATGAACACTACTCGAGTTCTGATGTGGAGCTATCCTGCTACACGTATACGTATAGAAACGTACCATTTTTGTTCATTCATTAAAAAAAAAAATTTAACACTTCCTCTATCGTCATCAGATGCTGATTGGCTTGTCAGCCTGGCAGTGAATCGTGATTGGCTGAACGCCTGTCAATCACACCTCATTACTCTAGTGACTCAGAACCTAACAAACCAACCAAACAGGTTTGCAGCGCATACAACTTCTAACATTTTACATATACCTGAAGACATAATAAGTAGATATTTACCTGAAAAGGATTGACATCAACTGGCTCGGCAAAGGGGTTATTATCGAATCCAGACATTTTGTCTTGCGGTAAGCAGCACAGGTGTACCGGGGCTCTGTCTGTGTACCTGCCAGCGCAACTCCCTGAGCGCACACCTCGCTGCGCATGCGTGATGGAGTCAGTCGTCACGTCGCTGCGGGGTTAGTTAGATCTCATGTTCCAGCTCTGCTTCCACTGCTGGATTCTGCTGGAAATGAACACTACTCGAGTTCTGATGTGGAGCTATCCAGCTACACGTATACGTATAGAAACGTACCATTTTTGTTCATTCATTAAAAAAAAAAAAATTTCTCGAAAAACTTTTCAAAGCTGAATTTTAGCATCATTACTCCAGTCACATGATCCTTCAGAAATCATTTTAATATTCTGATTTGCTGCTCAAAAAAAAACAAAAAACATTACTATTATTGTTGAAAACGGCTTAGTATAATTTGTTTTAGGTTTCTTTGTTGAATAGAAAGTTGAAGTAAACAGCATTTATCTGAAATATCGATATTTTGTAACATTATAAATGTCTTTATCATCACTTTTGATCACGTTCCTTGATAAATAAAAGTATTCATTTCATAATTTAATAAAAAATATATAATGATTTAAATATACTGACTCCAAGCTTTGTGTAATGTTACAAAAGCTTTTTATTTCAGATAAATGCTCATCTTTGGATCTTTCTGTTCATCAAAGAATCCTGAAAAACATGTACTCAACGGTTTTAAATATTGATGATGATAATAATAAATGTTTCTCGAACAGCAAATCAGAATGTTAGAATGATTTCTGAAGGATCATGTGACACTGAAGACTGGAGTATTTAGCATCGTCACCTCAGGAATAAATTACATTTTAAAATATATTCAAATAGAAAGCAATTATTTTAAATAGGAAAAATATTTCACAATATTACTGCTTTTACTGTACTTTGGATGAAAAAAAAATGCAGGCTTATTGAGCAGAAGAGATAAAAAAAATAAAAAAAAACATTAAAAATCTTACTGTCCAAAAACTTTTGACTTGTAGTTTATAAATATATGTGACCCTGGACCACAAAACCAGTCATAAGGGTAAATTTTTTGAAATTGAGATTTATATATAACCATCCATTGATGTATGGTTTGTTAGGAAAGGACAATATTTGGCCGAGATACAAATAATTAGAAAATCTGGAAAATCTAAATATTGAGAAAATTGCCTTTAAAGTTGTCCAAACAATGAATGCATATTACTAATTAAGTTTCAATATATTTACAGAAGGACATTTACAAAATATCTTCATGGAACATGATCTTTACTTTATTTCAGTTTTTCTTTTTTAATAAATCTGCAAAAATGTCAACAATTCTGTGTTTTTCTGTCAATATGGGGTGCTGTGCGTACATTAATGAGGAAAAAAAAATAACTTAAATGATTTTAGCAAATGGCTGCAATATAACAAAGAGTGAAAAATTTAAGGGGGTCTGAATACTTTCCGTACCCAATGCATATATATATATATATATATATATATATATATATACACATACATATACATATACATACACACACACACACACACAACTCTGCACCTTTGCCAGCAGTAAGACGAGTTAAACAGCTCTCACACAATTAAAATTCCCTTAGGCCAGATGCACCCATTTGGCAAAGTGAGAAAAGACTCGAGCACCTCTTTCAGGTTTGCAGGACAAACCGGTTATTCAAGTTTTCCTCCAAGAGCTCAAATCAATCAATATACAAAACTGAATGTGGCTGGAACAAGTTAGCAGTAATAGCAGCCCAATAACTCAGACCTTTCATTCACCAAAACAGTTCTTAATTGTTCAAAATGTGTGATTTATTTTACAACCATTAACTTTTTCTCTTTCATAAGAAATATTTGTTCAACACGACTCCACATAACATAAGACAAATCTGAGGCCAGACAGCCGTTTGCTCAATCCTGCAGGCGGTGTGACCCGTCTCAGCAATGCATGAGATCTAAACACCACAATATAAATTAATTCTTAATTCTGAGATTGATGTCATGCGTTTATGTCCACAGACTCGTTCCTGTGAGAAACACAGCCTTTGCCAACCACCATCATCTTTAACAAGCCATGTTATTGGATATAATCACAGTTTAACACGACGGTGACAAATTAATCTTGATCTTCAATTAATCTTTGCACAAACCACAGTGACAAAGAAATTACAAATGGTCTAGACACAGAAATATTTTGCAGGTGGCACAAATAAAATAACTGATTTTGTTCATTTCACAATCAGCTTCCTGATATCAATAACTAATGATGGAGAGCTATCAGAATCTCTCCGAGGGCAACACTGCTAATACAGCAGCTGAATGAGAGCTGTGAATCAAATCGGAGCATAGCCTTCCAAAATGCACTTGTGTGGATTTTTACAGCCAGGTTTTATTTAATAATTAAATATTTAGGGAAAAAAGGGAAATATCGCATTACAGTATATATACAGGCAGAAGAGACCATTTGGTAATATATTAAGTCATATTTAAGTCATTTTCTGGCAAGAGGAATCTCGTGTTTGCAGGGTATGAATGATCCTAAGATTCAGAATGATTCCATTTAGAATACCTTAAGTAATAGTAATCCAGTAACTATGCATTTTTGTGTTTTAACACTGGTTTCTTAAAGCAAGATCGAGGCAGATAAGCATAAAAAACAGGAATGAAAATCCAAACAACTGATGGATGGCTGTTGACGTAATACACTATGTGGGTGATTTGGAAGACTTTGGAGTCTTCATTTAGTGTGGGATCCTCTGGCATTCTAAGACCAGTTTGCTTGGTCCCTTTAATGGCATAATTTCCCTCCAAGCACAACACAAAAAGCAGCACAAACATATCCAGAGGTTTTCTCATAAGACACACACTCCCCACACATACGGAGGAGCCTCACACACATCCACACAGACCCAACATCCTCACTTCTCTCTCCAACTCATTCATGACCGATAGACCGAAATATGAATTCAACAACCCAGCAGTCACTGGTGCTCTGGCTTTGTACACTTTATATATTTATATATTTCATGTAAATAAAATTTATTAAATAGGCTTGGGGGCAAATACATCGGAGAGAATGCTGTAAACGTTAAAGCAGCCCGTGGTTTAGTTCATCAATGGCTTCGTCTCCCACCTTTGGAGCCCGATCACAGTCAGGGAGCCCAAAGGAGAACATTCCGGATCGGAATGGTTCAGCATTCCCTTTGCCCTGCTTTCCAGCTTTCTCACATGCAGATCTCCTGCTTTTCCTGTCAACATGGCACTTAAGGACTATAATGCAGCAAATGTGAGCTAGCAGGGAGGGATGAGCTCTTTTCCATGGACGGACGTGGAACCTCGTGGCCTTCATACCATGAACTCGTTGCTGCCGTACACCACCGCCTGCTGGGGGGGCAAGTCTGGATCTCTCTTCTGCCCTCCGCCCATCGGAGGGTCACGGTGCCTCTGAGGTGAGTTCTTGACACCCTGCAGGCGCTGTTTGCCTTTTTCTGGGTTGAAGGTGCCACGGCTGGTGAACTGCGGTCTCTCCTCTCCATCATGCTCGGGCTGGTCCAGGCTGTCAGGCGGGCTGGATAGATATAATCGTGTCGAAGGTGATTTGGAGCGCAAGCGTAATTTATGGGTTTGTGCAGGTGGTTGCATATAGGAAGACGACACAGAGGAGACGGTAGAACTGGAGTCTATGGAGTCCAGGGATTCAGGCTGCTTTCGCAGAACCCTCCTGCTCTTCCCCTCTGACTTCTTGGGCCTCGCGGTGGCCAGCGCTGGGCCTCGCTCTGTTTAGAGACAAAGAGAACAGCAATGTGAGGTGCGCTGGAAAATTAAGCACTATGCTGGGGAGTAAAGTACTTGAAGTTCTGACAGTACTATCTTAGTTTTGTTTTGACAGCAGGCCACTGGCATTTAAGCAAGAGTAGCTTTTCCGGTTTTAAAGTGACAAAACACTGCATTGCTGTTTTTTTTATGTCCTTGTTTGGCACACAGCTTCACACAGTCGAGTAAAACACATTCTTCTAAAATACTCTCTTATGTATAGTATTGGACGTCTGATTCACTTGAAATGAATCTGTTTGTTCAGTTGATTCAGTAAATTAAAAAAATAATAATTGAAAAATAAATTACAGTAGCTTTTTTTCTGTAGCTACAGTACTGTATATATTTTTTTACTTGTCTGAACTATTTTGAAACCCACATGAAATCTAAATGTTCAAGTTCAGGTTCATTTATTTATAAAGCACATTTAAAAACAGCCACAAGACTGACCAATGTGCTGTACATAAAAATCAAACCATAGAACAGAAATAATAAAAACATTAATTTAAAGACCAAAAGGAATGACAGATAAACATTCTGAAGACAGAGTAATAATCAAGAGCATAATACAATGTAATGAGAATGGGATATTAGTAGGCCAGATCGAACAAGTGTTTTTTTTTTTTTAAAGTGACTTGAAAATGGATAGGAATGGATTTTCTTTAAAGGATTAATTCAATAAAAAATAAAAACGGTTATGTTGTTCAAAACCCATTTACCACATTTGATATGCTCTCTTTGATAGCTCTATGTATGTGCGTTGATCAGTGTTT